ATCCTGTCCCCAGGTGCCACATCCACGTCTTTACCCATAAATGATGTCCCCAATTGTCACTTCCACACCTTTATCCCCTCCAGGGATGGGGACTCTGTGCTGGCAGCTTTAAGGATTCTCTCTCTCTGCTCAGCGTGCCTTTCCCTCCCTGCCTGCATCCAGGAGCTGCAGATGGATATCCTCTATATTCTCTGTATTCTCTATATCCTCTATATCCTCTATATTCACTATATTCTCTATAGGATATTCTCTATATTCTCCGTATTCTATTCTCTATATTATATTCTCTCTATTCCCTATATTCTCTGTATTCTCTGTATTGTCTACATTCTCTATATCCTCTATATTCACTATATTCTCTATAGGATATTCTCTATATTCTATTCTCTATATTCTCCACATTCTCCATATTCTCTGTATTTTCTTTTCTATATTTTCTATATTCTCTATATTTTCTGTATTCTCTATATTCTGTATGTTTTCTGTACTTTCTGTATTTTCAATATTCTCTGTGTTCTCTATATTCTCTATAGTCTCTGTATTCTCTTTTCTATATTTTCTATAGTCTCAATATTCTCTATAGTCTCTGTATTCTCTTTTCTATATTTTCTGTATTCTCTATATTTTCTATACTCTCTATATTCTATAATTCTTTATATTCTCTATATTTTCTGTATTCTCTATATCCTCTATATTTTCTGTATTTTCTATATTCTCTGTATTCTCTTTTCTGTATTTTCAATATTCTCTATATTCCATTTTTGGTGGTGGGACCAGAGGCATTTCCTGCCCTTCCCAGGCCCGAGGGGGTTGGGAATCCGAGTTAATCTTTGACCGTGGGTGCAGCCCAGGCAGGAATTTCTTTGTCCAAGTGGAGCAGAAGTCTCATTTTTGGGAGATGCCGTAAACTGGCGGCGGAGGGAGAGAGAAAAATGTGATTCCTGCTGTGGCGGGGCAAAAGCTGCTTTTTTTTTTTTTTTTTTTTTCTTGCTGAGCCATCGTGGTTGGCTTTGATTCGGAAACATCCAAAGGTCACCTCGGTGTCCGCTCTGCTGATGTGTCCTGACAGCAGCCAGCGCTGGGAAAACTGGGGCTGTGCCTTCCCAACCATCCCAGCTGGCAGCAGAGGGACAGCCCTGGACCCTGTCCCTGAATCCTGGCCCTGAATACTGCCCCTGAATCCTGTCCCTCTCCAGCCGTAATCCCATCCCTCTGTGCCCCTCTCCAGCCTGAATCCTGTCCCTGAATCCTGTCCCTCTCCAGCCGTAATCCCATCCCTCTGTGCCCCTCTCCAGCCTGAATCCTGTCCCTGAATCCTACCCCTCTCCAGCCGTAATCCCATCCCTCTGTGCCCCTCTCCACACCTGAATCCTGCCCCTCTGTGTCCCTCTCCAGCCCTAATCCCATCTCTCTGTGTCCCTCTGTGTCCCTCTGTGCCCCTCCAGCCCTGGACCCTGCCCCTGAATCCTGCCCCTGAATCCTGCCCCTCTCCAACCCTGAATCCTGCCCCTTTGTGCCCCTCTCCAGCCCTGGATCCTGTCCCTGAATCCTGCCCCTCTCCAACCCTGAATCCCATCCCTCTGTGCCCCTCTCCAGCCTGAATCCTGTCCCTGAATCCTGCCCCTGAATCCTGCCCCTCTGTGTCCCTCTCCAGCCCTAATCCCATCCCTCTGTGTCCCTCTGTGCCCCTCTCCAGCCCTAATCCCATCCCTCTGTGCCCCTCTGTGTCCCTCTCCAGCCCTAATCCCATCCCTCTGTGCCCCTCTGTGTCCCTCTCCAGCCCTAATCCCATCCCTCTGTGTCCCTCTGTGCCCCTCCAGCCCTGGATCCTGTCCCTGAATCCTGTCCCTGAATCCCATCCCTCTGTGCCCCTCTCCAGCCCTGAATTGAGGTGGGATGAAGCAAATCCCACCTGAGGTTTCCCACCCCAAATAATTCCTGGAGCTTCCTCCTTCCCTTGAACCCCACGAGCTGCTTGGAGCTCCACGTGCTGGAAGCAGCAGCCAGCCCTTTTTATCCTTTGGTTAAAAAAGCACCATGGGAATGCATAATCTGCCTTTTTCCCAGGGAATCTCCCCCCTGCAGCACCCACCTTGCTCAGCCTGAGTGGTTTTGGGGAGCACTGAGCTCCTGCAGGGTGTGGGAAGGACCTGATCCCGTTCTGTCGCTCCCAGGGGTGATGCCACCAAATCCCAGAGGTCTCTGGGCACTTTTTGGGGATCCTCTGCTCAACAGCTGTGAGGAACTGAGAGCCCTAAAACCTGGAAGGCAGCACTTCCCCTCTTGCTGCTTGTGGTAAGGAGTTCTGCAAAAAAAAACCCAAATTTTCTGCCAGCTCGGGCAGCTGAGGGGAATTTCTGCATTTTGGGGAGCTGCAGCCCTCTGGAGCCTCCTGCTCTGAGTCCTTACCAGGACCAGCATCTGGAGAAGGGAAAAACGTGATTTGTTTGGAATCACAGAATGGTTTTGTTGGAAGGGACCTTAAAGCTCATCCCTGCCATGGTCAGGGACATCTGTGCTGTCCCAGGGTGCTCCAAACCCCGTCCAAGCTGGCCTTGGGCACTCCCACACCTTTCCAGAGTGGAAATGGAGCTTCTCCTGGACTTCCCAGAGCTCCATCCTGCTCACCCTCAGCCCGTCCCTGCTGCTCTTTCCCTGGGAGCAGCAATCCCCTGCTCCAGATCCACGCCGGGAGAGCTTTGCTGAGGTGAGGGAACCTCATGGGATGCATTAAATGGGGAGGAACCTTCATGCTGAGGGGAAAAGGCCCCCGGGAACCTCCCAGCCCTGAGCGAGCCCAGGAAGAGTGAGGAAACGTGGGATGCAGAGGCTGCGCAATCTCCTCTCGCAGGCTGGTGAGGACACGCCGGGACATTTCATCATCCCTCGCTCAGGATCAAAATCTGCTCCCAAAATCCCTCTTTTATGGCCCTGTAAATCTCTGGCTTCCACTGCTGGCGCCTCTGGGGGAAAACATCCGGCTCCAGCAACCTTTGCTGCTCCGGGAGTGCGTCACTCCTGGATGTGGGGCTCGCAGAAAATCCATTGCAAAAGCAGAAATGAGGGATTTTGGGGTTTCTGACGGGTCTTGCTCAATGTCACCGGAGAGGTCGGGGCCTCTTCCTGCACCCAGACGCGCCAAGGGCTCCATTTTGGGTCTGGATCAGCACATTTGGCACCCTGGGCATGGCGGAGGGGCTGGTGTGGGCATGGAGATGTCCTGAGGGGAGGGAACGGTGTGTGGAGTGGTGGTTCTGCCCTTGTGCCATCCTGGGGTGATGTTTCTCTCCTTTCCCCCCTGGATTTGGGGGGCTGGAGGGCTGCAATCCCCCCGGCTGATGAAATCCCTGGGGCAGGAATCACAGCAGCCTCGGGGCTCAGGGAATTCCCTGTGGGAAGGTGCTCCAGGAGGGGAGCTCATCCCTGCCCAGCTGCTGGACGGTGATGGGTGATGGGACAAAACCCCGGAGACAAACCCGAGGTGTCCCTGTGAGCCACGGGTGGGGTTTCCTTCCAGGGTGGGAAGGGAAAAGCAGTGAAATGGGGAGGGGGCCTGGGGGGATTCCTGCTCCTCCTCCTCACCCATCCTGCTGCAAGGACGGATCCAGAGCAGGGCAATCCCCTCCACATGACCCTGGTCATCTGGACAGACTTCTCCTTTCCCGTGTTTTAGGGTGCAACTTCTTCCCCGTGTTTTAGGGTGAAATTTCTCCCATGTTTTAGGCTTTGCCTCAGGCAACCCCTTGAGAACCCGGGTGAGAAAAGCCGGGGCAGGGCTGGAGGGAGTCCGGCGGAGGAGCGGGGACAGACAGCCGTAAATCACGGGATTGGAGCGGGACAAACTGCCTAAATCACGGGATTGGAGCGGGACAAACTGCCCTAAATCACGGGATTGGAGCGGGACAAACTGCCTAAATCACGGGATTGGAGCGGGACAAACTGCCCTAAATCACGGGATTGGAGCGGGACAAACTGCCTAAATCACGGGATTGGCGCCCGTTCCTCTGGCGGGAGCACAGCCGGAGCCCGGGCGCTCGGACGGACCTCGGGACACCGGGAATGGCCTCGCCTGCCCCGGGGGCCCTGCCCGTTCCCTCCCGCCACCGGCAGCTCCTCATCCCTCCATCCGCTCACGCTTTCCTGCTCCGAGCATCCCTGAGGAGCAGCGGGGAGCGGGGCGGTGCCGTGCCGGCCCCCGGGGGTCGTTCCCAGCCTGGATTCCCGTGCCCAGCCCCGCTCTGGCACGGCTCGGCCCGGCACACGCGGCCCCGCTGGCTCCGTGCCACCGGCGTGCCCGGCTCCGTCCCGGCTGCCGCCCTTCGGGATGACGTAACCCCGGCCTCGGTTGCCTCAGAAGGATCCGGGCTCAACGGAGCCGTGCCCCGGCCTCACCTGGCCGGTGGGACGAGGTCCGGTCCGGTTCTCCCCCCGCTCCGCCCGCCCGCCCCATCCCCGCTCCGCCGGGATTTTGGGAAGGGGCGGATCGCGATAGCAGCGACCCGAGCCGCGGATCGCGATAACAGCCACCCGATAACAGGCCGGGAGAGGTGGCTGAGGGTGCGAGGATGGGAAACCCGTGCTCGGGATGCTCCCGCCCCGCTCCTCATCCCCTCTCCATCACCCCCGGGCCATTCCCCGAGCCGCGCCATCCCTGGGGAAAACCGCGGGTAGAAGGGAAATGTTTGGGTCTGAAAAGGAATATTCCAGTTTTTTTTTTTTCTTTATCTCCGCAGCTGCAAACCAGCTTAGACATCACCCGCTGCAGCTCTCTCGGAGCTGCTGTCGGAAATCCCAGCGGAGAGGAGAGGAGAAATTCCTGCTGGGAGTTCTCCCCGGCGTCACCCTCGGGGGAGGGCGGGCAAAGTTCGGCTCCTATAAAGTCAGGTCTGCTCCTCTTCATTCATTGCCCCGCCAGCCCCGCCGGCAGCAGCACGTCCGGCCCTTGCGGAGGAGCTGGGAATCCTGCCCCGGGTCCCTGCAGGATGCTGATGCGGGGAGCGATGCCGCGGATCGCCGCCCTCACCTGCCTGCAGCTCCTGCTGCTGCTGCGGGCCGCGCAGTGCCGGCCCCACGCGTGGGACCAGGACAGGCTGCAGCTGGAGGCCGTCAAAAAGGCGATCCTGGAGCGGCTGGGGATGGCGGCTCCCCCCGCCATCCGGCACCGGCCGGACCCGGAGAGCATCCAGAGAGCGCAGCGGCTCTACCGGCGGGCGGCGGCGGAGCTGGCGGGGAACCGGAGCCGGGAGGAAGAGGAGGAGGATGAAGGGGAGGAAGCCGTGCCCAGGCTGCACCGCCTGACCCCCACCTGTAAGTGGCCGCGGCTCGGTGTCACCCCCCGGCCCTCACGGCCCCCCACATGTCCCAGCGTGTCCCGGCCCCGGGAATGTCACCCCGCTGTCCCGGGACATGACCGGGCATGCAGCACCGAGCCGCGCTCCTTGTCCCGCTCCTTCCTTCGCCCTGGAACTGGGGAGGAGCCGCGCTGGAGCCGCTGTGCCTCAAACCACAAAAAATCACCGGGGTTGGGGATGGAAGGTTTGATCAGCCGGCTCGGGGCTCGGAGTGCGGCCGGAGGGGTTTGGGGGTGAGCGGGAGGGGGAAGTGGGGCGCCATCCCCCCGGTCGCCAGCTTCTGCCCCAGTTCGGGAGTTTGTCTGTGTCTGGGAGGGAGGATTTAAATAATTAAATAAGTTAATTGATATTAACATTTAAATTAATTTAAATAATTCCTCTCCTGCTGCTTGGGCTGGCTGGGGACAGTCGGGGGCTGGGTGGGTCCTGGGACGCCTTTTGTGGCACCGGGAGAGCTGAGACGCTCCAGCCAGGAATGGATGGGATGTCGGAATTTCCAGCACCCCTCAGGGTGTGGGTGATTCCCCGCAAGCAAAGGCCGGAGCTGATCGCAAGGCCGGGCTGATGAGGAATTCCTGTCTCTTACATCAGCTGTCACCTCTGTCCCCGCAGTGCTGCCCTGGCTGGACATCCCCGAGGGACACCGGGACTCTCCGGGCCCCCGGGACGCGCAGGGACAGCGGGAGCCCCTCGGTGCCCGCCGCTACCGCCTGCTGCTGTCCCGCACCGCGCATTTCCAGCGGCAGCTCCGCGTGGTGCGGGCGGAGCTGAAGCTCCTCCGGCAGCCGCTGTCCCCTCCCGGCGCCTCGGGGCCACCTCGGGTCACCATCTCCGCCCTGCCGGGGGCCGGGGGCTCCCCCCAGGTGCTGCAGAGCCAGGATCTGCAGGATTCCCTCATTCTGGACCTGACCGGAGCCGTCCGGCCCTGGCTGGCCGGGCCCGAGCCCTCGCTGCGCCTGCAGCTGGAGTTCAGCACCGACGTCTCGGCGGCGCTGGCCGCCTCCGAGGGGAACACGCTGGAGCTGGAGGTGCAAACCCTGGAGAAAGCGGCCCGGGCGGCCAGGAGAGCCCGGGGGCTGCAGGACGAGTGCGGCAAGGGCGACGGGAGGTGCTGCCTGAAGTCGCTCCGGGTCTCCTTCCAGGACATCGGCTGGGCCGACTGGGTGGTGGCCCCCAGCAGTTACCACATGCGCTTCTGCGAGGGCTCCTGCCCGCACAACTACAAACCGGCCAGCATGCACGCCCAGATCCAGTCCCGGGTGAGCTCCCTGTCCAAGGCGGCGCCTCCTCCCTGCTGCGTCCCCGCCGGCTACGACCCCATGGTGCTGATGCACCTGGACGGCCAGGGCAGGCTGGTGTCCACCCTCTTCGAGGACATGCTGGTCACCGGGTGCCACTGTGCCTGACAGCGGCAGCTCTGCCCGTCCCGGGGGGGCGCAGCCATCCTGGCAGCTGCAGCGTCTCAAAATCCGGGTCCTGGGGCACCCTGAGCTCAGCTCCAGCATCCCAAAATCCTCATCCTGTGGCACTGAATTACTCATCTCCAGCCCTGGATCCACTCAGCCATGGGGTCTCCAGCATCAGCATCCCAAAATCCACATCCTGAATTACTCATCTCCAGCCCTGGATCTGCTCAGCCATGGAGTCTCCAGCTCCAGCATCCCAAAACCCACATCCTGTGGCACCCTGAGCTCAGCTCCAGCATCCCCAAATCCAGATCCTGTGGCACCAAGTGACTCCAGACCAGCCCTGGATCCATCACTGAGCTCAGCCAAGGGGTCTCCAGCATCAACATCCCAAATCCAGGTCCTGTGGCACCAAGTGACTCCAACCAGCCCTGGATCCACTCAGCCATGGGCTCTCAAGTTCCAGCACCCCAAAATCCAGATCCTGTGGCACCAAGTGACTCCAGACCAGACCTGGCTCTGCTTCAGCCCTGGGGTCTCCAGCTCTGCCACCCAGCCCAGCCTCAGCATCTCCAGTTGTGACCTCTCTACCAAAATAACTGATTCCTCTGTCTCTTCTCCAATTTAAATCCATATTTTATTGAGCGGGTGGGTCCTTCCCACCCAAGAGACCCCGATGGGCTGGGGTGGGTCATGCCCAGGTGTCCATATCCCACTCCAAACCCTCTTTGCTCAGAGACTTATTTATGCAACCCAGTTATTTATTTCTAACTTATTGTATTTTATAGCCAAATACCCTTTTTAAGGGGGGGAAGATGGAGGGGCTTTTGTGATTTTCTATTTTATATATTTCTATAAAACCCAAAGGATGTAATAACAATGAATAAAGTGATTGTAACAGGGGTTGTGCTGCTCCTCCTGCACACCTGGGGGGCTCTGCCAGGACCCCCAGCTCCCCTGGGATCTGCCTCCACGTGGATCTGCTGGTAAATCCCCAGGGGTTTCCAGTGCCAGCGGGTGAGTAATGCCCGGGCACTGCTCCCAGAGACCTTTGGGCTGTTTGTGTCCTTGGGAAGGGCCCTGGGCCCTGCTCTGACCCCGGGGGTGACCATTGCCCCGTTCCCAGGTGCCTCCAAAGGGATGGGGGGAGCCCCCCCGGCAGCTCGGTGGCACCCACGGTGTCCCCAAGGCCTCCCCGTGGGGTGGCTCTGCTGTCACAGCTCCGTTCTGTCCCCTGTTCCAGCGTGATCTGGGGCTGGCCTGGGCTCAGCGGCTCCTGCTGGGGACCTTGGGGCAGGGGGAATGTGGGAGCTCTGGGATGAAGATTTTGGGGAGCAGGGCTGAGATGGCTTCTCTGGGGACAGAGAATGGAGACACCTGGCTCTGGGTCCCTTGGGACCCCCACTTTGGGGTAATGAGCTCCTAAGGGTCTGACCCCTTGGGACCCCCACTTTGGGGACACGAGCTCCCTTGGGACCCCCACTTTGGGGTAATGAGCTCCTAAGGGTCTGCCCCCTTGGGACCCCCACTTTGGGGACACGAGCTCCCTTGGGACCCCCACTTTGGGGACGCAGACTCTGGGACCCCCAGGCAAACCCCACGTCCTGCCCAGGGCTTCCCACAGACCACGAGCTATGCGGGTAATTAGAGATAATTAAACCATTTAATGGGGCACACTGAAGGCTCCCAGGGACTGTGGGGACACCCAGACGAGCCGTGGGGTCCCTGTGTCCCCATGGGTCTCACCAGGAGCATTAAAAAAGGAGCTTTTTCTTGTTGCCCAAAGCGGCAGATTTAGCAGGAGAGGATTGAGCAGGTGGCACCGGATGTCCCCAACCGCCAGCCCGGCCCCGGGCGAGCTCTCCCTGGCCCCGAAAGGGGAAGGGGAAGCCGAGGCCGCGGTCAGCGCCGCCGCTCCCGCCGGCCCCGGGCGCGCCCCGGCCCCGCCGCTCCGGTGCCGCTGCCGGCGGATGCGGCCGAGGCGTCCCCGCGGTCGGTGGCCGCGGCCCCGGGAGGAAATGTCAGCTCAGCCCCCACCCCCGCCCGAGAACCGGGGCGAAGGAGCGAGCCGGGGCTGCCAAAAAACCCGAAAACCCCGCAAAAGGCGCTGCCGCAGGACGTGCGTGGGAACCGCGGGTGGGGAACGTCCCTGTCCCCTCTGCGCCGGGGGAAAGGGACACAGAGGGGCCCCCCGGTGTCCCCCGGTGTCCCCCCAGCCCCTCACGGGTCAGGAGTGAGGTAGATGTCCTCGCTGGGGCCCAGGGTGTTGGCGTAGATGGGCTGGTCCCCGGGATCGGCCGCGCTCTCCAGGAAATAATCCTCGTGCAGCAGGACCTGGGGGCTGGGACAGGGAGTGGCACCGGGGGGACGGGGGGGACGGGGGGGAAGGGTGGAAATGATGGAAATGATGGACAGGATGGGATGGAACAGCATGGGGTGGCATGGGATGGGATGGGATGGGATGGGACGGGATGGGATGGGATGGGATGGGATGGGATGGGATGAGGATGTAAAGGGATGGATGGGATGTAAAGGGATGGATGGGATGTAAAGGGATGTAGAGGGATGGATGGGATGGATGGGATGGATGGGGTGTAAAGGGATGGATGGGATGAGGATGGATGGAAAGGGCTGGATGGGATGGATGGGATGGATGGGATGGATGGGATGGATGGGGTGTAAAGGGATGGATGGGATGAGGATGGATGGAAAGGGATGGATGGGATGGCAGGTGCAGCGCAGGATGAGGCCGGATAAGGCAGGACACCCCACCAGGGCGCGGCAGGGCAGGGAGGGGGTGGAACACTCCCGGAACGCCCATTCCCCGTTCCCGGTGCCGGAGCCTCACCTGTAGCGCGGCTCCTGCCACGCCCGCGCCGATCCCCGCCCGGCAGCCGGGGCCGTGCCGGGGCTCACGAAGACGTTCTCGTAGTCGGGCCCGTCGCTGGCATCGGCGCTCCCGGTGTCGCGGCTGATGTAGCGGGGCTGGCGGGCGCTCCCAGCGGGGTCCTGCTTCCCCCTTGCCCCGCCGCCCACCGCGGCCGCCGCTCTCCTCCGCCGGTACCGAAGCGCGGCCACCGCCGCCGCCACCAGCGCGGCCACCGCGGCCACCGGCCCGGCCACCAGCGCGGCCACCGGCCCCGCGCCCGGCCCGCACTCGCGGCCGTGGAACTCCGAGGCGTTGAAGGGATGCCCGTGCGGGGTGAGGCACCGGCAGAGGACGCCCCCGCGGGCACAGGGCGCCAGGACGGTGCCCAGCACGTCGCAGCGGCAGGACACGCTGAGCCAGCGCAGCGAGGGCTGGAAGGCGGCGGCGGGCACGGCGGGCAGCGGGTTCCCCTCCAGCCGCAGGCTCCGCAGCGCCGTGGCGTTGCTGAAGAAGCCGCGGGGCAGCTCCCGCAGCCGGTTCCCGGCCAGGTCCAGCTCCTCCAGCCGCGGGCCCAGGCGGGCCGAGGGGCTCAGGGCCTCGATGCCGTTGTGGCCCAGCAGCAGCCGCCGGTGCTCCCGGAACGGGCTCCAGTCCAGCTCGGCGCAGCCGCTGCTCCTGTTGGTCAGGTTCAGCTCCGGGGAAATGTCCAGCATCAAAGGGAAACAGGGGGACACCAGGAGGATGGGGGTCACGGGGAGCAGCAGCAGCAGCAGCAGCGGGGCCGCGGGGACCCCCATGGTCCTCGCGCCGCAGCGGGAGCCTGGTGGGAAACGGGAATCAGGACCCCCATTGGCACCGATCGCCCCTCCCGGCGCAAACCAGCGCAGCCCCGTCTGGCCCCCACCCCGGCGCCGCTGTGCAGCTCCTGGGGGTCCCAGCGCGACATTTCCTGCCCCCCTTCCCCCTCCCAGCCACCGCAGCCCCGCTCGCCTGCGCTCCGGCCGCTGCTGCCTGGTGTGGGGAAGAGGAACAGGCGGGTCCGGCTGTCCCGTGTCACCCTGCCAGGGCGTAGCCGGCCCCGGGGGGGTGGGGGGGTGGCAGCACCCCCACGTCAGCCCCCCCTGACCCCTGCCCGACCCCCGGCCCTTTCCTGGGGGGCTGAGCATCCCCCGGCGCTGGCTGAGTGTCCCGGAGACCCCGGTGACCCGAGGGGTGCGGGACACGCGTGTGGGCACTCAGACCCCACCCCGGCCTCACAGGGACTCCCCGAGTGTGAGGGGACCCCGGGGCCGGGTGGGAGCCGGGGGACTCCGTGGCTGTGTCCCCTGGCAGGGTGGGTGTCCCCATTCTGGTGTCCCCTCCCCGTGTCTGCAGCTCGGTGTCCCCAGTGCATCGTGCTCGTGTCCCCTCCCCATGTCCGAGCCCCCTCCGGTGTCCGTGTCCCTCCACGTCCACCCCCTGTGTCCATCCCTGTCCCTCCGTGTCCCCTCCGTGTCCCCCCGTGTCCCCCCGTGTCACACCGTGTCCGTGTCCGCCCCCTGGTGTCCGAGTCCCTCCGTGACTCCCTGCTCCCATTCCTGTCCGTCTGTCCCCGCGCCGTGTCCGTGTGTCCCCCTCGTGTCCGTGTCCCCGTATGCCCAACCCCTCGCATGTGTCCACCCCGTCGTGTCCACGTCCCCCGTGTCCCCTGTCACACCCGTGTCCCTCTGTGTCGCGTGTCTGTGGCCACCCCTCGTGTCCCTCCATGACCATCCTGTCTCCATCCCCTCGTGTCGCTGCCCCTTTAAGTCCACCCCATCGCCTCCGCGTCCACCGTGTCACATCCGTGTCCCTCTGTGTCCCCCGTGTCCCCCGGTGTCCCCCCTCCCATGTCCACTCCTTCGTGCCCGTGCCCACCCTTTCCTGTCCGTGTCCCTCCGTGCCCAGCTCCTCTCGTCCGTGTCCGCCCCGCCACATGTCCACCCCCTGTACCCGCCGTGTCCGCGCCCACCCCCTCGTGTCCCTGCGCGACCACCGTGCCCGCGTCCCCTCGTGTCACTGCCCCTTTAACTCACCCCTGGTGTCCCTGACCCCCCGTGTGCCCCCTCCCTGGATGCCCACGCCCCTCGTGTCCCTGACCCCCCGTGTGTCCCTGCCCCTCCATGCCCACCCCCTCTCGTGTGTCCCCCGTGTCCGTGCCCACTCCTCGCCCTCGCGTCCCCGCGTCCACCCAGCCACATCCTCGCCCCCCTGTACCCCCTGTGCCCACCCCGCGATGCCCGTGACCCTCCTCGCCCACTCCCCTCGCCCCCCGTGTCCGTGTGTCCGTGTGTCCGTGTGTCCCCCTCCCCGCTCCCTCCCCGCTCCCTCCCTCCCTCCTCGGCGCGGTCCCCACCGCCTCCCCCCGCCGCCATCGCCCCTTTAAGCGCGGCGCGCGGCGCGGGGGGGGTGGTGGCGGCGCTGCCGGAACAGCCGCGCGGGGGGGGCGCGGCGGTTTCAAGCTCCCCCTCGGGCGCGCGGCCGCAGCCGGCGGGGCCGGGCCGGGCCGGGCCGGGATGGCGGCGGGGGCGGCGGGGGCGGCGGGGGCCGCGCGGGGCCGGGCCCGGGGCCGCTGACAGCCGCCGCCGCGCCATGTACGCCAAGGGCAAGGGCTCCGGCGTGCCCTCGGACGGCCAGGCCCGCGAGAAGTGAGTGCGGCGCCGGGCGGCGGCGGGGGACGGCCGGGGCGCGGAAGTTTTTGCCGGGGCGGGCGCCGGGGGAGCGGGGACGGAGCGGGAAGGGACGGGGGGGGGAAGAGAGATCGGGAAAAGCGGGGGCAGATCGGGGGGCGGGCGGACCCCCCGGCCCCGCCCCGCCGGGGAGCACCGGCAGCCGCGGGGCAGCGGGAGCTGGCGGGGGTCAGCCGGGCACCGGGAGCCGGGATGAGCCCCCGCTCTGCGGCATCCCCCGGGGCACCGGGAGCCGGGATGGTCCCCCTGATCCGTAGCATCCCCCGGGGCACAGAGAGCCGGGGTGATCCCCCCGGTCCGTGCTATTCCCCGGGGCACCGGGAGCACGGATGATTCCCCCCGATCTATGCCATTCCCCGGGGCACCGGCAACCGGGATGATCCCCCCCGGTCCGTGGCTTCCCGGGGCACCGGGAGCCGGGATGATCCCCCTCGATCCGTGCCATCCCCCGGGGCACCGGGAGCTGCCATGTGCCGGGGTCCGTGGCATCCCCCGGGGCACCGGGAGTCGCGATCGCGCCGGGGCTAACGGGAGCCGGGATGTGCCCCCCGGGTATTGCCACATCTCGGGGCACCGGGAGCTGCGGGGGCACCGGGCTGATCTCCCCGGTCTGCGGCATCCCCGGGGGCACCGGCGGCCGGGATGCCCCTTCCCCGACCGTGCCACCCCCCGGGGCACCGGGAGCCGGGCTGATCCCCCCGCTCCGTGCCATCCGCCAGGGTACGGGAGCGCTCCGAGGCTGCCGTGAGCGGGGCTGTGCCCCCCGGTCTGTGCCATCCTCCGGGGCACCGGGAGCCGGGGCGATCCCCCCGGTCTGTGCCATCCCCCGGGGCACCGTGCCCCGCGATGGCACCGGCGCTGCCGGGAGCCGGGATGTGCCCGGTCCGCAGCATCCCTGAGGGCACCGGGAGCCCTCCCCGGCCGTGCCATCCCCGGGGGCAGCGGCACCGGAACGGCCCCGGGGCTGCCGATGCTCCGCGGCCGTTGCCGGCCCCGGTCCCCGCTCCGTGCCCGCCGCTCCCCGTGCCGGTCCCCGGGGCGCCGCTGGGGCCGGGGGCTGCTCCCACCGGGGCTGGGACCCCGCGGGTCCCGTTCCTGCTCCCGGGGCTCCGCGGGGACACCGGGCCCGAGCCGCATCCTGTGGGCTGTGCCTCCTGTCCTGGAGCCACCCCGGCGCTGTCACCGGCGGGAGTCACTCGGTGCCACCGGCGGGAGTCCCTCGGTGCCGCCGCTGGGGTCCCTCAGGGAGGTGACATCGAAGCTCCTTCATTAACCCGCACTAATTGAGGGTGGGGGGCTCCATCCCGGCTGTCCCTCGGGGTCCGTTGGGTGGCGGTGTCACCGAGGGGGTGGCAGGGCCCTGACCCTGTCCCTGTCCCCCTCCTGTCCCCCCAGGCTGGCGCTCTACGTCTACGAGTACCTGCTGCACGTGGGGGCCCAGAAATCCGCCCAGACCTTCTTGTCGGAGGTAAGGGGGGGGGGCAGCGCCCCCAGACTCCCCAGTCCCACCGGGGGGGGTCCTGGAGCCCCTCAATCCCTGCCTGGGGGTGCTGACCCCCCCCCGTGTCCCCCTCGCAGATCCGATGGGAGAAGAACATCACGCTGGGGGAGCCCCCCGGCTTCCTGCACTCCTGGTGGTGGTGAGTGGGGGTCTGGGGGGGTTGGGGAGGGGGGAACCCCCCCCCCATTCCCACGGCAGAGGGGCAGGGAGGGGGTCTGGGAGCTGCCCCCCCTCATTGTGCCACCACATCCCCTCGTACCCCATAAACACGAACCTGCCCCTCTGCTTTCCCCATCGGCGATTTGGGGGCCCCCCCTTTCCCTCCCATCGCGGCCCCCCCTGCCCGGCTCCTCCAGATGGATCCAATTTGGCACCGGGAGCGGGGCTGGGGGGGCTCCGGGCCCCGGGGCTGGACCCCCGCGCTGGGGGGGCCCCGCAGAGCCCCCCGAGGAGGGCGTGGGGATGGGGGGGCGTTAATTGTGGGGCGGGGGGCTCGGGGGTGGGCGGGGAGCGATCAGTCGGTGATTTGGGGGGGGGGGGTTCATTGGCACCCAGCCAGCACCCCCAAACCCGGGGGGACACGCAGGGCCCCCCGTGCTGGCCCGGCGCGGGGCGGGGGGCGCGGGCAGGGACCCCTCCCCACGGCGGGGTGCTGCCGTGCCTGATGTAAAGTCGCAGGAATTTGGGCTCCGGCCGTAGCGACCGTTTCCAGGGAAAACAGGCGGGGAAAGAGCGCCGGGAACCGGGAGGCCCCGGCCGAGGGACGGAGGGAGGGGGGCCCGGGCTGTGGGGATGGCGGGAGGGGTCGGGGTGTGAATTGGGGGGGGTCCTCACCCTCTGCCCCCCCACCCCACCCCATCGCACCCCGTTGTGTCCCCAGCGTGTTCTGGGATCTGTACTGCGCCGCCCCGGACCGCCGCGAGACCTGCGAGCATTCCAGCGAGGCCAAAGCCTTCCATGACTACGTGAGTGCCTCACGAGGGGGGGTCCGTGTGCCGCCGACCCCCCCCCACCGCCGGGACCGCCCCCCCCACCGGCGGGACCCCCCCGTGCCGGGCTCGTGCCCTGCCAGCCCCGATCGCTGCCTGACCTATTTCCCATTGCCCGTGCACAGGGTGCCCCTGAGGGGGGGTTAATCCCTGGGGGCCGGGCTCTGTGCCCCCCCCGGGGACCCCGGCGTGCCCTGGAGTGCCCATCCCCCTCTGCGACCCCCCCAGGGCACAGGGACCCCCCCCATTCCCCCACACCATGGGCACGGTGCCAGCCGGGCTGTCCCCTGTGCCCACCCGGGGTCCTGGGGGTGTCCCCTGTGCCCACCCGGGGTCCTGGGGGTCGCTGCGGGGCTGGGGCTCAGTGGGACCCCCCCACACTGGGATGCTGTGGGGTTCAGGGTGATGCAGGATCCAGAGCCCGTGGGATGCAGGATGATACAGGATCCGTGTCCCACAGGATTCTGTGGGGTGCAGGAGGATCCTGTGGGATGCTGTGGGATGCTCTGGGATGATGTAGGATACTTTGGGATGATGCAGGATGCTGTGGGATGATGTAGGAGGCCATGGGATGCTGTGGGATGCTGTGGGGTGCTGTGGGATGTTGTAGGATGCTCTGGGATGCTGTGGGATGTTGTAGGATGCTGTGGGATGTTGTAGGATGCTCTGGGATGTTGTAGGATGCTCTGGGATGCTGTGGGATGTTGTAGGATGCTCTGGGATGATGCAGGATGCTTTGGGATGATGTAGGATTCTGCTCCAGGGTGCTGTGGGATCCACAGCCCCACAGGATGCTGTGGGGTGCTGTGCCGTGTAGGATGCCCCCATGGGATGCAGGGTGCAGAGTGGGGTCCCTGTCCCTGGGGGGACACCCACGGTGCCATGGGGGGGCTCTGTGGGCTGCAGGACCCTCGGTGCCCCCTGCACTCGGGACCCTGCAGGGCCCACGTGGATCCCCTGACCCCCAGGAATCCCCTGACCCCCGTGGGTCCCATGGGGTCCCATTGGCTCCCGGGGGTTCCCGTGGGTTCCTGGGGGGTCCCAGGGAGTCCTGTGGGGTCCAATGGGTTCCCAGAGGCTCCCATGGGGCTCTATGGGTTCCCGTGGGGGTCTCGGGGGCTCCCCTGGGTTCCCGTGGGCCCCGTGGGGCCGCGCTGGCGCCGCGGGGGCTGCAGCAGGACCCAGGACCCCTCCCCATCCGCTCGCCGCCGCCCCCGTGGCTGCGCAGAGCCGGTTCCCGGTTTCCATGCCGGAATTAATGAGGCTGCTGCCGGCGCGGTGCCGGTGACGCCGGGGACACGGCGCGGGTCGGGCCGCGTTGCCATGGTGGCACTGATGGCACTGCAGCCTGCCAGGGCTGGGGGAGCCCCGGGGCCCCCCCGCACCCGCCGGGTGCCCCACGCAGCCGTGCCCCCACCCCAGGGCCCGGCTGGGCTGAGCTGGGGGTCCCAGCGTGGAGCTGGGGTCCCCTCACGTTCCCACCAGCCCCCCCCAGGCACGTCGGGACCCCCAGAGCATCCCCCATAGAGCTGGGGGGCCAGCCTGTGCTCAGCTGTCGGGGTGGGTATGGCAGCAGCTGCCCCCCAGCGGGGTCTGGGGTCCCCCCGAGGGTCAGCAGCCCCCAAACCCCCCCCCCACGTGTCCCCCCCACCCCAATTCCTCCCTGCTGACCTTGAGCCCGCAGGAGGAGCCGCAGCTCCCCCACCTGTTGCCATGGCAACCGTGCTGAGCATCACCAGCTGGGGGGGGCCGGGGGGTCCCTGCCATGGGGGGACAGCGCTGTCACCCCCGGGGGCTGCAGTGCCCCCAGCCCGGCCCTGCGGCTGTGTCCGGGGGTCCCCAGGAGGGGACACAGCCCTGGGACCCCCCAGAACCCCCCCCCGTAGGGCACAGACCCCAACTGGGGGCTCAGTGCCGCCAGCCCTGGGTGCCACCCGTGTGCCAGGTGTCACCATGGCCATCGCTGTCCCCGTGCCGTGCGTACTGCCACCCCTGCAAGCACCTCGGGCCCCCATCCCCGCCGGCCTTGGGGGGCTTGGGGCCCCCCGGGCAGCGGGGGCAGCGCGGGGTCCCCCCTTCCCCTCCCGGCTCCAAATTGGAACCATTTGTGGCGCCGGGGCCGGGCCGGAGGAGCGGAAAGCGCCGCATTCCTTCCCTTTACAGCTCCCCCCGGGCGGGCAGAGCGGGGCCCCGGG